CTACACTTACTTGTATACAACCTTAGGAAAGAAAATCATACATGTGAGTAAAAGTAGGATTTGAAGAAACAAGAAAGAACAATCAGGAGACCAAACCTGTGTTAATGTCAGTGTTTCTATGTACCACTGTTTGATTAGTTCTAATGAGCAAATGAAGGGAGGAATGAACTGAATGAAGAGCAGGCATAAACATTGAAATAGGCTTTTTGGTTTAATCTTAGCAAGAGCTTTGAGACATTTCACAGGGGAAGAGTCACAGTTAAAAAAAAAAGAAATGAGATGTTCTGTCTCATAAGAGAGTACAGAACAAATACGGGAGACTAAGAACTTATTACAGTAAGTATAAGAGAAATTAGCTTTTTATAAAATACATCTTTAATTAAAATAGACATGTCACTTTCCCCCTTCCCTTTCCTCCTTCAGCCCCCTCCCATGCCCCTCACTTTCAAGTTGATACTTTCTTTTTCTTTATTATGGCTGCATACGTGTGTGTGTGTGTGTGTGTGTGTGTGTGTGTGTGTGTGTACAACTGCCTAAGCACAACTTATTGTGTTCATTTTGTAGGTAGTATATATGAAGTGTCAGGGATGACCACATTGTATCGAAAAACCAATAAGATGCCTCATTTTAGTATTTTTAGAGTTCCTTAATTACCCGTGAAGTCAGGGAAACTGAAGTGTGTAGGATATAATCATATTCTGACTCCCACTCTGCCTATATATTGAAGATAAAAATAGTATTTTTTAGCCCTATCTCACTTTAATCCTACAAACCTTTAGTTATTGAGAAATAGATCTTTTTTTCAGGATATGTCTAGCATTTTTATATTCCATTTTTACATTCCATTCTATCTATTACTAATGTGAATATATATGACGTGCCATCTAGATTCATAATTGGATTTAGTACTCCATATCAAGTTGAAAATCTATTTCTCAATCACTCTTTTTAAAACTGCCTGGATATTCCTATAAACCAATGTCTTATAAATCAGCCCAACTATTTTAGGAATGGTATAGGCCTACTGTTCTTAGAACACCTTTCCTAATTGCTGAAATATAGTAATGTTAAAGCACTCCTCTCCTTTCATCTTTGTCTTCACATGGAACACAAGTGTGTTCTTATTATCCTTCTCAGGAACTCTGAAAAGTTGTGTTTGGGGAAATGAATGTGAATACCAATAAAAATGAGCCAGTTAGAAGAAATCATCCCAAAACTTAAAAACTAACTAATAGTGTATGAGTACAGAGCATTCTGAATTCAACACATCTATGCACAAATGTGTGAGACCACACAAAGTGTATCTATTCCTTTTGGAAGGTAGATATTAGACTACTTATAGCTGAAGATGAACTCTTATTTGCTTCTATAATGTTAGGCAACAATCCTGCAGTGCACATGCAGTGAAAACACATATTTTGTGTTGCAGACAGGCAGTTTTGTGGACTTTTAATCTTCGACAGAGCTACCTATCATATTTTCATAAAGTTGGCAGATAGAACTAGTCCATCAGTGATAAGATTTGAGTATTCGCTGCAGTCCTCACAGAAGGATGAGTTTACCCTTCACTACATAACTAAAGCTGATTATACTTACAATGGTCACTTACAGTGTTCACCGCACAGGGTATAAAAGAAGAAGGCAGAATTATGGATGTGAACAAAATCTTACAGCTAGGTGACAAAACTAGTCAGCCACTAAAATATATCAGTTCCTTTAAACGTTTTTACAAGGCTCCTGTTTCTGAAGCAATTGCTGCCTTAGTTAACCTTAAATCAGCCAACAGGAACCTGTGAAGCAAATGATCTTTAGGATGACGTCACTATCTCTGTTAGTACTATATATTTCAAAGGTTTTTTGAGACACTTAATATGAGACACTGGGTCTCCTGTTTGAAAACAACCCAAATAAGAAACTGAAATTGCAACAAAATGCAAAGTTATCTACATCAACATATTTTCATCATAATGCAAAAATAAAAATAATAACAATAAAACCAAACATTTGTATTAGAATCATTTATAATGTTCTATTTATTAACAATTTTATGTGTAAGAAAATATAATTTGCAGACAACTTTCCATTTCCACTGGTCATAAACAAAGCTTTTTAACTGTTTTCAGATTCAATATCTAGAAAATTCTGTATACAGCTACATATTACATTACTCTTCTTTAGTGGCATAGAATGTTAAGAAAAATTTAACGTGATGTTTTAGAAACAATCATTAGCTTAAATTATATGTTCCGATTGGATACTTGGCCTTTTGCATAAAGTTGGTTGGACTTCTGATCATCTTACTGTGATACAGAAATTATATGGAGCAAGGAAAGGTTTCAAAGATGATAAATAAAAATTCCCCTAAATACAGACCTAAATGCACATGTTCACACACACACACACACACACACACACACACACACACACACACACATACACAGCATGTTTTAACAATAATTTTTAACTTCTAAATACGTGAAGATTATTATATCTGATTATTTGCGTATGTTTGAGTGGTGTCTGTTTAATCATCATTTAATTTTTCCTGCTCCCTAATCAGGGCAAATAAACTTCACTAACACATGTCAGCGTCCTGCCCCTAAAGCCAGGGAAAGAAATGCAAATGCTTACAGAAATGATGGGATCGCTCTGTAGATAAGCCTTTATGGTAATAATTCAAAGAAATACCGGAACCCATCAAAGATAACTGTGCTGACTAGAGACAAGAACCCAGGGCCTGACATTCTTGACACTGTGCACTGGGACTGAATTCTAATGCTAAGTGCTTTTGAAAAGTACATCAAGGTTTAATAGGATGAATTTTCAGACTTGGTCAGAATCTTAGCCACATAAATTCCATTAAGCTCAAAACTCCATAATGCTTCATTCTGTCTATATTTATACCCAAATTCCAATCTACACCCTTCTATGCTCTCTGGTGGGCTCTCTAATGTCTCAATTTCTTTCCTCCTATTTTTGGTTTTCACAATGCCCTTCAAATCTGTTTCTTTTCTTTGGCTTTATGTTCCTAAGCTTTGCTTTACCCATGTTTAAAATCCTTCAAGACCTCTATTTTAAAATAAATACTCTCTTCTCTGATCTCCTATCATGACGTTTTGCACTTGACCCATTTTCTAGACAAAGCTCTACCAAAGTCAATTTAAACCATCACTCCTTGGATAATCATATCCAGAGGAGATGACAGCTCATTCAGAGACTCTTTAAAAACATACCTCTTATTGGTGTGTAGGAGAATTGAGGAAAAACCATGAAGCCATTTCTGAAACTGGGTCTGCAATTTTATGAATGTTTAAGATAGAGGATTACAACAGAATGGATCTCACTGGATGAGTTAATGAGTCATGGAACAGCATAGCAGACTGCTCTATACAGCATTGTTACTTGCAGGTCGGTACTGAGTGGTCCACTGCTACATAAGGAGAGAACAATAGTAGATACTAAGACAAGGGAAGGTTCAAATGACATTCCAATTTCTTCTTATCATCCTCTTTTTCCAGAGAATATCCATATTTAGTTTTTATATTAAACCCAGTATTAACACATGCAGAGACAGGAGTGAGGGGCCTGGTTATGAAAGGTTACCGCAATCCATAGACAAAGCACTTAGTGTAGAGAAGTGGGGGGCTGATCAGAGAGACACCCAGGTGAAATCTTGACAAGACTTCAAGAGTTATAATACAAAACCCAAATCACCTCAAAATGAGACAATATCAAAATGTGAGTCCACAAAATACAAACAACTGTCCTAGGTATCTCTTACTTTGTGTTTATATTATTTATCAAAGTCACCATCACCATATCTATTGAGAATGAAGAGTAGAAGCAAAGCTTAAGGATTTAGTGGATCATACTTCAGTAATTTAGACAGCAGTAACTCAGAATGTCAATGAATTCAGACTGTTGGCCTATAACTCTGATTGATTAAGAATGTTAACATGTTTTTGTCTTCTGTTAATTCAAGCTTCTAGTTACCAGTCATAGAAATCAAACCTAAAGGCAGTGGCTTCTTAGATACCATATGTTTGAAAGGGTAGTGGGCATCTGATTACATAAGGAGTATCTCTGGGAGAGCTTCATATATGTCCTCCACTTAGGATCCATAAGACCTGGCAGAATCATTATCTACTTATTGGCTTTTGAGAGGCTATGGTCCCACTGGACTTCTCTTACAGTGATTCCCGAGACAGAAAAATGATTTAGTCATTTTAAACACAGTGGGACTTAGTGAGACATACTGTCTTTAACATTTACAGAAAGTATGGATGTAGTATTAAAGGGTTATGCAGGCATCTGTGGAAGAAAGTAGGACCAGAATGAAGACTGGGAGATATGGGAGGTAATATTAATATTAATTCCTGGCCAAATTATGCCCAATTAAACACACTGAAGACACTAAAGAAGTGTTTTCAATTCCTTGCTGAACTAGGAAGTGAGGCTTTGCTCATTCATTCTTACTTTGTGATTTTGATGCCTACCTGGGCTATTTAGGTTTTTGTTTCAAAGACAAAAATTAATGTATTGACTCTAGAGAATGCTTTCATTTTGTACACAATTTCAGTAGAAGATAATTTCCTAAAATCATGTTATAACTACACTATTTCAATCACTCAACCAGGTTTTTGTTTTGTTTTGTTTTTTTGAGACAGTGTTTCTATGTATTGTTTTGGAGGCTGTCCTGGAACTCGTTCTGTAGACCAGGCTGGCCTCGAACTCAAAGAGATCTGCCTGCCTCTGCTTCCCATGTGCTGGGATTAAAGGCATGTGCCCGGCTCAACCAGGTATTTTATCATTACAAATTATGGAGACTTAACTATTCTTGCAGCGTTACACATTTTTGTCATAGGTTACCACAGATCTAGATTAAAACTCACCTTGAAGAGACACATGCACACAGTGCAATAAGATAAATGAGTTGTTTACAAGGAGTTAACAATGAATAGAAAACCCAACCATGAAATAAGAGTTTAAAAACTACTTACTTCACTTGCTTGCAGGATTGTGAACTTTGGCAGTTTGGTCTTTGAACTGGTTGTACTGGGTTTCCCATCCAACAGTGATCCAAAGGAGAGGTTTCCAAAGCTGTTCTCAAATTCAATGGAAGGTTTCAGTGTTGGAGAGATGTCAGTTACCTGGTCCTGCCCATCCATGGGTCTTACATATGCAGTTGGCTTTTGTTGCCCCATGATTGTTTTGCAGTAAAGTCCTGATGGGAAGGTTGGGACTGTAAGGCCACTGCTTGGAGCTAATAAAGAAGAGGCAACTAGGGGAGACCCAGGTGCTTGCACTGTATATTCAGATTCTTCTGGTGAATTAGACTGAAAGATTTCTTTGAAAGCATCTTCTCCAGATTTGTTATTATCTTCCTTTGCAGATGGATTCGATTTTTCAACTGTACCGCTTTGGGGTTGCTCAGCTGGGTAGACAAAGAAATCTTCCAGTCGGGTTTGAGGTGGATCCTGTGTGGATGTTTGCATCTTGTTTGGCTGACTACTGGCCTGGCTTGGTTGTCCAGGGCTAGTGGTATGACTATCTCGTGGCCATTCAGGTTTCGATTTTCTGTTGCTGTGTATTAGAGTGGAATTCAGTATTACGACTGAAGGTGGAGGCATTGGTGCTGAGGAGTGGATATTCTCCTGGTGAGGGGGGATTATTCGATTCTTTTGTTCTGGATAAAAGCTTGCTTCACTTTTGCTGATATGTGTTTGGGGCACAGAATTCTTCGGGATGCCCACCAGATGATTCTGACTAGAATGGTTAGTTAGCAGATCCTTCATTTCATCATAGCTTCCAAGAGTGTTCTGGACTCGGTTAGCAAGAGCATCCCCTTTGTTTGTCTAAAATAACAAAAAGAAGGGGAAAGGAGGAGAGAAGATAAATAGGTGTCTGTTTCCTAACATTAAAGCTTCAAATAGATGCTTTACACAGACTAAAAACAGGGTTTTTAAAATATTGTCATACTATCACATAATTTCAAACATTTATGTGATATATAAGGAAAAAACTCAGATTAAAAGGGTTTTTGGATTCCAATACAATTCTTCATAGAACTTCAATGGACAATTTTCAGCTTCATATGGAGATACAAAAAGCAAAACAAGAAAACCAAACACATTGATAACAACAACAAAACAAAAACATCAAGACAGCTGAAGCAATACTGAATTATAAAAGAACTTTTGGAGATATCACAATATCTGATTTCAAGTTATATTACAGAGTTATAGTAACAAAAACAACATGGTATTGGCACAAAAACAGGTACATGGATCAGTTGAAATGAATTGAAGGCACAGACATAAATACATACACCTATGAACACATGATTTTTTAAGAAAAGAAGACGGATATATACACAAGAAAAAGACACCACCTTCAACAAATGGTGTTTGTCAAACTAGATGACTACATGTAGAAGAATCCAACAGATCCATATTTGGATCTGTACAAAACTCAAATCTACATAGATCAAAGATCTCAACATAAAACCAGATACACTGAACTTTTTAGAAGAGAAAGTGATGAATAACCTTGAGCACATTGGCACAGGAAAATAAATTCTGAGTAGAACACTGTTAGCATACGCAGGAAGACCAACAATAAATGAGACATCGTGAAATTTAAAAACTTCTGCACAGCAAAGGACCCTGACATTCAAAGTTGCAGGTTTCAGAATAGGAAAAGATTTATTACCAATCATACATCTGATAGAGGGCTAGTAACCAAAATATATAAAGGATTAAGGAAAACTGTATATCAAGGAACCAACCTAATTTGAAAACAAGGTATAGATCTAAATAATTTTCTCAACAAAGGAAACCCAAATAGGTAACAAACAAAGAAATGTTCACTGCCCTTAGCCATCTGGGAAACACAAATCAAAACTCCGTTGAGACTTCATTTTATACCTGTCTCAATAACTAAGATACATAAAACAAGTAACAGCTCGTTCTGGAGAGGATGTGGGAACATTCATCCATTGCTGGTAGGAATGCAAACTTTTACAGCCATTATAGAAATCAATGTGGTAATTCCTCAGAACAATGGGAGTTTATCTACCTCAAGATGTAACAATACTACTCTTGGGCATATAAAAAATAAGCTTTGTCTTACCACAGAGACATTTACTCAACCATTTTTATTGCTGCTCTATTAATAATCGTCATAATAGCCAGACATCTGAAACAACCTAAATGTCTCAGTAAAAGAATGGACAAAGAAAATATGGCATATTTACACAATGGAGTATTACCTGGCTCTTAAAAATGAAATCATGCGATTAATATGTAAATGGATAGAACTAGAAAAAATCATCCAGAATGAGGTAACCCACACACATACGAGATGTAGTCACTAATATGTGGATATTAGCTTTTAAGGCAATGTCCAAGCTATAACCCATACAATCACAAAGTGAGATATTGGGAGGGACATACAGATCTTCCTAGGAAAGGGAACAAGGCTCTAAGAAGTCTTACTGGGGAAACAAATTACTCTTAAGGGCAAAGTTCATGCCCAGCAGTACATGGGCAACAGGAAATGAACTCAAAGGCACCGTGGAGGTTCCTTGTCTCATAATGTCATGTCAGAGCCTTTCCTTTATTATTTTTAAAATTTATATATATATATGTATATATGTATATATATATATATATATATTCCTTATCTCATTTCACCCCATAGGTACTTTGTGTATGTACTATGTACTATGACTTGTAATTTTGGTGTTTTTATGGTATTCCTGGGTTTGCCAATCAGAGGGTCTCTGTTCCTTGTGTCTTGTCTTGAGTTCTTTCCTTTGTTTTGTCCAATCTGATGTGTTAGTTTTTGTTTTATAATATTTCATTGTTAACACTCCAAAGCCTGTTTGTTTTCTATTGAGAGACGAAAATGGGTAGATCAAGATGGGAGAGTTGTTTAGGAGTAACCGGGAAGAGTAGAAGGAGGGGAAATCATAATCAGGATATATTATGTGAGACAAAAATGTATTTTCCCTAAAAAGAGGAGAGTTGGAATGAGTAGGGATAATGAATGATTAGTTTTCTCCATGTCCTGCCCTAAAACATGTTTATTGGAAGATAATTTTAAGGTGATGTCAGTAATTTTGTGAAATACATTACTGCTTTTAGATTAGATGAGATGAACTGTTACATTGTACATTGTGATTAAACTGTATCCTTACTGGTGTTGGATTACAAGGAATACTTGACTTGTATACATTTTTGACACATTGTAATACTTTCTATCATAAAATGTTATGCCTGTTTGATAGAGAAATCAGTTAAATTGTGCTGTCCTCACTACACAAACTTCAAACAAGGCATGAGATTAAAAACATCTAATTGAGCTAACTTATGATTAGCATGAATCTAATTCCTTTTAATCAGAGAACTGTATAAATTACTGGCACCTACCTACATATTCTAGGGGCAACTGTGTTTACACATGGATGATTCATAGTCATTTACTTTGAAAGACTGCAATTGTTCATAAACAGTGACTCAAGCTCTCATGTGTCTTTGCAGTGAGTTAGAAAATTTTATTCAAGAATTTAAATTGTTGCTTAAGTAAATCAAAACAAAGTAATCTTTTCAAAACAACTTTAGCCTAATGTGTAAGAGAAACAGAGGTAACCAAATAAATCTATGGACAATCAACAGCCCAACTCTTGTAGGATATGCTAATCTCATAAAAATGACAGATTGTTTTTATAAAATAATTAGTCTCTTGCATGTATTTTTGCAATGAGAAAGCAAAGCTTTCATGACTAGAATATGATGGGTAGCTGAATACTTGAAAATAAATTAGATGAAATTCAGTTGCTAATTCCAAAAATTAACTTTTATGATTTTCTTTATAGCTAAATAGATTATCAAAACAAGTTGTTGAATTCAGAAAAGCAAAAGAGTTCTCTGCCTAGGTTGTACTATTCTGGCCCCATATATTACAAAGAGAAAAAGTTACCATTATCCTTGGAGCCATCTGGCAATTGGGCCATTAGTTAGGGAAGGTCCCATATTATGTGGTCTTTATGTCACAGAAGTTAAAAGTACGTGCCTTCTCCTTGGTACATGGTCCACAAAAGATAGATGTTAAATATCCATGACACCACACATGCCTCAGCACTTCCTAGTCTCCTAAATTACACAGGTGTTATACTTATTCAAGTCTCAGGTATTAGTCTCTATTTAGGATATAGGATATAGGATATTTGACTATGGAAGAACACTGAGGGTGAAGTATTAGAAATGGATGAAATCACCAAGGGAAATAAAAAACAGAACAAGAAGATTAGGCTAAAATAAAACACCTGGCATAAATGTAACTTTAATAGACTTGGAGAAGAAGAGAAGCCAGGTAAGGACAACAAAAAAGACAGAGAGAAACCAAACTAGAAACCTTGGCCTCATTATTAGAATGATCTCCACATATTTAATTCATACCATGTGTTAATTCATAGACACCTGCAAAAATTAGGACAGTTGAAGAAATATGAATTTCAAAGATTACACAAAAATGTGCTAAATATATGCCAGGAGATTTCTGTGAGTGACGAAGATCTTTAGAAATTGAATAACTATAAGTCAGTTTTAGTTTGCTCGTCCTCAAGAACTTCTTATATTGCATAATATGCAACCTTGGTAACGAAATGGTGATTAAACAATTAACATTCTGTATAATTCTCAGTAGAATAATTGCCCTGTTTTCAGAAGCACATTTGAAACTCATATTTAAAAGATATAGATGGTGAGAAATCATTTTTATTCCCTAAAATTCCCTAGGTTTACCATTTTAATGGCAGAAATTACTTTTTAGCAAAGGCAAAAAAAACTCTTTGCATATAGCAATTTCCTTCAACTGACTTACACAATGAACCATTTGGATAGCAGCCAAAGTCAGTCTGCCTATTCAATCCCTCCATAAAAAAACAAAGAAATCTCATTGCCTTAAGGCCCCACCAAGAATTTGATGCAAGTCTGAAACATTTTCAGGACTGTTCTGGTCCCTGAAAAACATTTAATCTCTCAAGTAATATGACTGCTTCAAACATAGATACCTGTCTATGATCAAGGATCTGGCTCTATCAGCAGAAACAAAGCTATTTAATTTCCCACTAGAAATATCCTCATTGTGTTTAATGGATTTTGTGGCAGCAGATTTCTACAAAATCATAACCTTATCCATTCCTACTACAGATACCAGCACAATAATAGCCTGAGAAAAATATTGACCCCTCTCTGGCTCCACATGATAAGTACCCAAATAACTTATATCTCATTTGTTTACAAACAAGCTAGAAAAATGCCTGTTGTTATTTTGATAGCATGTAGATGACATACATATCTTTTTCTCAGTAGGAAGAACTATTCCTATTTTTAATGTCTGTTTATTATTGTTTACTTATTACAGTGGTGATGGGGGATGTCCTTCTGTATATATGTTTCTCTTATTGGTCGATGAATAAAACACTGTTTGGACAATAGCCAATAGAGGCAGGAAGATAGGTGGGACTAGGAGATGAGGAGAATTCTAGGAAAAGTAGGCAGAGAGAGACTGCAAAAGAGTCAACAATTGGAGAGAATGGGAGGAAAGGATGCACTAGGCATTCTCCGGTAAGATAAGGCCATGTAGAAATATATAGATTAGTAGTTATGGGTTAATCATTAAGAGAGAGATATCCTATAAGAAGGCCTAGCCACCGGACAACAATTTTATAATTAATATGGCATCAGAGTGCTTATTTGGGGGCTGAAATGGTGGTGGGACCTAGGTGGAACAAGATAATGCCAGCAACACAGTGGTCTTAGTTTCTGAGGTATGCTGACACTTCTTTTTA